AGCTGATTTAGCGGTGCAAGTTTCTCTTTGGCTGTCTTTAGTCTCTCTGACTCCTCATCGTCATCCACAGGTCTTGTTATCATTGTCTGTCTGGAGGGTGGTTTTGGGAATCCAAAACGGCATCCTGAACTTGCACTTTTGAAACATGTCTTTGAGTGGTTCTTACTGTGTATTTGCACTTCTTTGACCTTTTTGTACAGTTCAGGCTGTTTATTTGGGTCAGGGAGCTGAGCAGAGATGTGTTTGGACACAAAGTCACACACAGTTTTATCAGAGTCTCTCTCAAACACAGGTGCACCTTCTACCCACAAAAGACCATGAATGTGAGGACTTCCTCTGTGCTGAAACTCGAGGCGCCAAAAGAAGTCAAAAACTTTGCCCAGGGGTTGTGCAGGAGACATGATCAGATCTCTGTACAGTGCTTCAACACGCTTATCAAACATGCGCATCGTTGTCACAGGATTGCTTCTCAGAATGTCACACTTTGTGGACCAGTCAAGCTCCTCAAAATTCACTTCCTCACCTTGTTGTAATTTTATTGCAATAATCACCTCAGGCCAACGCATTTCTGCTGCAGAAAATGTGACAAAGAAAGTAGGACTGCCCAACTGTCTGATCATAGCAAACAGATCTTTTGTAGTTTTGTCCCAGTAGGCTGGTGTTCCTCTGAGCGGCTGCATAAATCTGATAGCATCTCTGTTTCTCACCAGTCTCTCCACTTCAAGTTTTTCTCTCAACATCTTGGATGTTATTTTTCGTCCATCTCTAGTCAAAGGTTTGCCTTTGCGTAACTGTATTGACATGCTGGAGGTAGCCAAGTGTATTTCAGTCACAAACTGTGCAAAGAACAGGTAGTTGGTATCTTTGGCAAAGCGATCATCAACACCAAAGAGCCTTGCTTTGAAATAACTACTGGGTGATAGTTTCATGGGTCTGTTTTCATCCAGTGTATTCTCACCAGTGGGAAACTGAACAGGGAACGCCATGGCCTCCAGTTTGGGTGTTTTGAAAAAACTGACTGGACTGTTTCTCTCTGCTGGAGCTACTGAGTATGTTGAGTCACTGAAACACAATATCTCCTCAGAAACATCCCGTGGCTGAAGGCACGACTCCAAAACAACACCACCATTAGATATGTCTGCATCCTGTTGTTGTGTCTGATCATCATTGTCCTGGGTCTGAGTTTTATCACACAGCTCTGTGTTTTCATCGTCATTTTCAACATTAGTTTCAACGTCATGCATGGCAGCAGCCTCAATTCTATCAATCTCCATCAAATCCTCATCGTCATAGTCGTCATCATTCATTGTAATATCATTACCATCGTCTTCATCGTCATCCTCATCACCATCATCAGGAAGTGTGGGGTCACATAACTCCTCCTCATCTCTGATAGTTATGTCTTCATACTGGGGGTGTATCTCTTTCAGTTTATGCAGAGCTTGCACTAGCTTGGACCAGGTAACAGTCTGAAACAGATGGTGGCCTCTGTAACTCAAACGTCTCTTCAGTTTTACTCTCATCACCTGAGATTCATTTCTCAATCTGGGTAGAGCATGAATTGTCTCCTGGACTTCAGAGGGAACACATACAACATTACCATGTATAGCTCTCTGTCTGCCTTTGGGAAGAGGAATGATTTTGGCAAATGTTATGCACTTTGCTATCAGATGTCTCTCCAGTATGTTGAGGTCACACAGCTCAGGTGGAATGTCAGCAAGCTCCAAGTTGTTTGCTATGGCAAGTTTGGGCATGGATCCATTTTTCACATGGTTATGGCAGGTGTGACAAATCCACTCAGTCTTTCTCTCATCAGGGACAGTGCACTGATTTCTGCAGTTATCGTTACACTCATGGACGTACTGACCTTTGAGACAAGCTGAAACCATGATTGGATTTTTCACATAGTTGGACCTTTTGCACTTTTGCACCTGGTTTGGAAATGAGGCTTTGTGACAAACTGTGCAAACATGGGTGGGACCAGCTTTAATGTGTGATCGGAAATCACTGATGGCACTTTCAATAAGTGGGTTTTCACTCTCTCTGTCAGTCTGACGTGTTCGTTTACTTATGGCTTTATATTTCTGTGATATTTTCAATGCACATCTGGTTTTATGCATAGTCCTGTATGCAAGATTTTTCTTGTACCTGTCTCGCATCATTCGTCTCATCAGCTGTTTGTGTTGGTGGCGGAATATATCATTTGCATATCGATGATGCATAAAGGATCGCTGTCTTTGCCGGAAATTTACATCCTCTGAGTATTTTTTCCTAATATATTCTTTTTGTCTGGTTTTAAAAGCAACATTTTCTGAGTATTTTGTAGTGATATATTGTTTTTGTGTGGCTTTAAAAGCAACATTTTCTTTGTATTTTGTAGTGATATATTGTTTTTGTCTGGCTTTAAAATCAACATTGTCTTTGTATTTTTTAGTGATATATTGTTTTTGTCTGGCTTTAAAATCAACATTGTCTTTGTATTTTTTGGTGATATATTGTTTTTTTCTGTCTTTAAAATGCACATTTTCTCTGTATTTTTTGTTCAGATATTGTTTTTGTCTGTCTTTAAAATCCACATTTTCTCTGTATTTTTTGTTCAGATATTGTTTTTGTCTGTCTTTAAAATCCACATTTTCTCTGTATTTTTTGTTCAGATATTGTTTTTGTCTGTCTTTAAAATCCACATTTTCTCTGTATTTTTTGTTCAGATATTGTTTTTGTCTGTCTTTAAAATCCACATTTTCTCTGTATTTTTTGTTCATATATTGTTTTTGTCTGTTTTTAAAATCCACATTTTCTCTGTATTTCCTTGTCATGTATAATTTTTGCTTCAGTCTGAAGTCTGTGCTTTCCCTGTATTTACTCCTGATATTTTGTCTTTTCTTTGTCTGTATTTCAGGATTGACAGAATATCTGCTCATTGAATAACATTTTTTCTTTGCTTTATATGTTTCATCCTTGGCATACTTTTCTCTCTCTTTCCTTTTTTGATTGTCTTTCTTTTGTGGTGTCTTTTGAGGTGTCATTACTCTCCTCAGAATTTTTTTCTTTTGTGCTTTGTTCAGTTTTGACAGTGTACTGGAGATATCATTGAGGACATTGTCACTGGTGACAGGGTTATTTATTAATGCTTGTGTGAAATTTGATTGTGTGTCCTGAATTTGCTGTAATTTGAAAGAGTTATTGCTGATTTGCTCAGGTTGATGTGCTTGTGTTTCTATCAGGGTTGAGAGGTCATGAGAGTCATCAGTTACAGTGGTGGTAATCTGTGGAGCAAGAGATTCAGGTCCAGTTAATGTGACAGAACACTGGCTGAACTCCGTCAGTTGTTCCTGTTCAGTTTCCATGTCATGCTCAGTGTTTTCATGAACATCAGTGTTCATCTGTGGAGCACTTGTGTCATCATTTATCACAGTGGTTATTACAGAGGAACTTGTACACATACCTTCTGTGGCTGGGATATCATGATTTGGGTTCACATCATAAAACACAACTGGTTTCAGCTCATACTTACAGGACTCTGGGGTCGACAATATGTGGTGATAACTGATCAACCTGTGAATCATGTCACTGAGTCGTGTAAATGTGACCATGACTGCAGTGCCAGGAGTACTTCTAGGCTGGAGTCGAGGCAAACCATGAGGTGTCCTAGCATGTGGGTCAAAGAAACCATATCTGCCACTTCTGGTCCTGAAAACTGCAATGCACAGTGAAGCCATCAGCAGCAAAGCATACTGCACATCTGATAATAAGCAGCTCAGTCCCATCTCGAGGTCCAGAAAGGTATCAACAGCTCCGGGATCCGGATCTCCAAATGTACCGTATCTAGACAGCTGTAACATGTCAACTCTCTGCATGTGACTGCGTGCAGGTACCCACTTAGGCAGCTCATCAGTTGTGAGATGGATGTGATTACGAACTGTTTTTCTGACTTGTTTATACACCACATTGCCTTTATCCAAAATACGGTCTAGGTCTGCTCTGGTGATGTTTTCATTCTCATACAGGAATGCTAGAAATGTCAGTGAGTTACAGGTGCACTGCTTGTTTCTGGATCGTCCATATTTCAGAGATGCTTGACTGCGTGAGGCACACACACTTTGTTCTCCTGACTGGTATGCAGTGTTTACATTTTCATGTCGAGAAGAGCCTGATACATTTACATCACTACAGTTCTTTCCAATGTCTGCATTCGGTACCTGAGTGGAACATGACTCAGCACTTTTGGCTACGTAGTTTGCTTGACAGTTGGATGGACCAGCAGTACATGACACACTAGGAAGTTTTGTTTTCAACATGTTTGCACATGTTACCTGTTGTACATCTGGATCATTGCTTTGACTTCTGTGCTTTATCGCTCCACAATCAGACGGGCCTGCTATGGGAGGTTCATATACATTCCTTTTAGACACATCTGCATCAGATACCTGTGATAAACATGATGCACTTTGACCTCCCTGGTTAACAGTGTTAACATCAGATACCATAGCCTTCCTTGTCTCTGCACTGATCTGAGGAGCACAATCTGCTTGTTCAGTAGTTACACAATCAATGTCACGTGTCCTCTGCCAGCGCTCACTTGCAGCCTGTGACCTCTTACTTTTCCTAGGCATTGTAGCTATCCTTTGACAACAATGATTTTATACAACAAAGTCAAGTTATTGATTACACCAGAGTGGACAGAAATGCTTTATTGTTTTCAGAAAGTACGTTATTTAACAGAAACAAAAATCAATAGCAAATGTTTAGATGTCAGGACTTTTTTGTTAAAATAAAATTAAAGTCAAAAATATGAAAGGTATATTTTTCAAACTCAAAATCAATGAGGCAGGAGCGGTGATGGTGATGAAACTTCTTCAGGTGAAACTGTAGAGCCACACAATGGAAAGGAAGAACTACAAGAAAAATAACACTTGTGCAAAATTAGTGCTTTTTTATAACAGTAGTTGTTTTAAAAGTACAGCTGTTTCAAAGATTGTGATGTTTCCGATTTTGCACTTTCAAAGATTTTGCTGTTTCAAAAGTATTGCTTTTACACGCGATCAGTTGAAAAAAAAAGCTTGTTTCCAAAAAGTGTTCTCAAAGTGTCTGAATGCCTCTTTTTAAGGCTCTAAAAGTGGTAGAAAGGCTGTCAAAGGCAGTCAAAGCCTTTCTTAAAGGCTTTCACAACGGTTTTTAAAGGCTGTCAAAGGCTGTGGTAAAGGCTTTCAAAATAGGTTGTAAAGGCTGGCAATAGCTGTTCAAATAGTCAGAGTTGGATAGAGGAGAGATAGAAAGGCAGAATGTCCAAAATGATAGGAGAGAGTGGAGGGACAGTACAGGATATCTGTAAGAAAAATGGAAATAAATATTAATAATTTGTATGAAATATAATAAAAACATTGAAATCAACCGACATTCACCCGAAACTAATGTCATTATAATGTGCTTTCATTCAAAGTAACATATGGGAATTCTGAATACACATCTATTCAAAGTGTAGTTGAGTCAAATGCTGAAACTGAGCATTGTTATTTGATCATCTTTTGAAAAATGTATCAGGGCTGAACATATAAAATGTTACTAAATAGATGAAGAAATGTATGTACGAGCTCAGTGTATTTTACGAAAAGATGTATCACCCACTTATCTTGAATGCTTATATAAATCAATGTTAATTGCCTTAATAATAATGTTCATAAGCATGTGATGAAATATCATGTGTACGAAAGTAACCTCAATTGTGTAGAAACTACAGAAAGAGAGGTGTGTGTAAAATGTGTACAATAAAAGCACACAGTGATATTCATAAAAATGTCATTCATGTATAAACTTACACTGACTGGCAAGCGGTCTGCACTTAAACACAAGGTAGAGTCACTAGGAGGGGAAATGGAAAAATACAGATGAAACATTTAGAGTTTCATTGTCAAAAAACAAAACATGACACTGTAATAAACATTCAATTGTTATCAAGCAGCAAACGTATTAACATTAGGTTCAGCTTGACTTAAGATAAGGCATAGTTTGAAATGGGTAATGTTACAATTCAGTGAAAAGATGCAGCAGTTTGTGAAATTATGACATGATGTACAGTTTTACATAATGTGTTGTAAAAAAAATTTATTCACACATTAACATGTATTTGTGTTAGTGAACTTTCAGCTGAGTTGGCCACAATGGTCTGCATTAAAGAGATAGAATAGCCAATTTCAGAAGCAGTGAAATTATAGAGGAGGAAAATGTAAATGTAGTTGCAAAACAATCATTATGTCATACTTAATTGATGGCACAACCATTTTTCATTGACAATCATTAGTTTTGTAATTTCTAATCCAAGTTCATGTTTTATACCACATAATGACTGGAAAGATTATAGTGAAGCAACCTTGGCCTGAAAAACATGAAGCTTAAAATGTAGAAAACAGATATTTAATACTCTTTAAAATAAACAGCCTCACAGCTCACTTCATTCACTCATTTTCCCAAATGATTTTCCCTCATCATTATTATGAAAATGAAGTCACACTTTCCCAGCAAGTTGAAATGTTTTGAATAAACAAATGTAGTTGTGTGGTAACATTGTTAACACAGTTGTCCACCAGGAAAAAATGTATCCAATATATATATATATATATATATATGTATAATAGGAGATATGCAGTAGTGATAGAGAAAGATCAACATTTAATATGTAATTAAAGTCAGTCTTTATTAGATGCATCATCTGTTGAAATATATGTCTCATGAGTTCTTGTTTACCAGGATAAAGCAAAACATTCATCCAGCTAATTTTTAGAGTACGATGTCACTTTTGGTAATAACACTTCTACTTACCAATAAACGCACGGGAGTGGTATAATCTTCTGTTTGTTTGAGACAAAAAACAATACATTAATGCTATCTTCAGATACATAGTACATTAAAACAGCAGGCCTATGAGAAAAGCAACATTATTAGTCATAATAGTAATAGAAAATGAAACAGCTCTAAAACATCACCTCACTGTTAGCTACAGCTTAAAATGTCACAGAATACATTTTATGAATTATTTCAAACTCATATAAAGGTAACATACGGTACAGTAGTACATAAATTTCAGGAGCAGCTACTGAAGCAAATACAGAGGAGGAGCTGGTTCACAAGCTTCAAGGCAGCTTACAACCCATCCATTAAATGTATATGTATTTGAACTTGTGGTTGTAGAGCATATATGTCGATAATGTGATGTTTGACATTGCAAATATCTATATCATTACCATCATGAACAACCCTCTCAATAATTAGAACAGCATGTTGTATTATTTTAACACATAAAAAATATAATTTCAAATGTGTTACAACTAGGTGCTTGGTAAAGATAACCTGTATTAGCAAAAATATCTACAAAATTGATAGAAAGTAATCAGGAGCTTAACAGCTAACATCCCCGTGTCAATGACCCAACTGTTAATATGACAAAGTAACAGTAATCAACAGTCTGTTACCTTTAGCAACGGCGGTACCGTCACAATCGTCTCCCATTAACAAATGCTTTACAATAGCAGTATCCCCATCGCTACCAACATTAATGAACTTTTTAAAGTAAATATTAACTGGCACGGTGTATAACATGACGGCAGCTCACAAATTGAGTCAATATTGTGTATTTCAGCAAGCACATGACTCAGCCTTATTAACAGTAGCCTATGCTGTTAGCTTTAGCGTTAGCTCGACGCTAATAGCTTTAGCGTTATATTGTTCAACAGTATCATATGTATTGTACGCATTTTCAAGTCAATATCTCAACCACTCACATCCTCTTAATGAAATATAAGTCAAACCAGTGTCATGTAGAAACGTGAAATTCTCATTTGTAGTGTCTGGACGTTAACAGAGACTGTGCATCGACTTACCTGAGCAGAGTCTGACACAGAATACCGTGGGTTCACACAGACACACAGTTGACGTCTTTGAGACATTCAGGAACACTCGGACATGTCAGTGTTGAAAACACATTACGGTATTATGCTGCCAAAGAATGTTTATTTACTTGCGTGTGCACGCTTGCATGCGTGTCTGTGTCAATAAGCCCAATTTCAGCAGAACTTTGAAAACTGGTCACCTGCTGGCTTAGCGTTAGAGTCGGATATTTGTCCTGCACATATACAAATAAAAGACATTTGTAGGAAACGTACAAAGAAGCTGAAAAATTACCTTTAATTGTACAAAAGTTGTATAAAGCTGACAATAAACTTTAAGTACAGGAAATAAAGAAGGGATATATATAGTAGTTATCATATAAGTAGTAATAAAGTGACACTCATACTGACATTATTATTAGCAGAAGTATAATGAAAAGACGTGTGCAGTCTGCATGTCAACATAGTAAGTTGTTAAGGCATAACAGCATCATCTAGTAGCATGCTTCAGTTACTGCACTACATACGATTGTACAAAATATTAAAGAGCTAAAGTTAAAGTAATTATATAAATGTAGACTGTAAAGAGAAGCAGAAGTAGAGGAATAAGAAGTAGTTTGTATGTTACAACAATTAAACACCAAAACTATAGGAACATAGTAAGTATTACGGGTGTACCTCCTATAAACAGAAAGACAGCAGTCCACACACGGATCCAGTGTGTGCGCGCGGCCGTGCCTGACTCTTGTGAGCAAAGCACACTGCCAATGACAAGTGCTACTATCGAGAATGAAGTAGAAACCGTGTAAACTTCTTCACCTAGCACAATTTCTTTAAGTGGTATCCCAAAAAATAAGAACATCTTGGGAATCCTGACACTGTTATACTGACAATACTGTATTTTTCATGCCAATAGTGTAAAAAATGTGGCAACAACAGCGAGTTAAAACACGGCTTGTATGTAGTAATTGTCAGGGTTTCTTGGCCGGAATTTAACATGGGAGTCGAAGGGCAGCATCGCTGCACTCCGGTGGTATATACTCAGCTCCTGGGCAAGCTGTACAATTTGATGACTTTTTTATGAGTATTTTGTGAGAAGCAGGACCAGTGTACCTCCATTTTGATGTGTTTTTTATGGCTGTGGAGTGAAACTTGCGGCCGCGGCAGCAAAATAAACACGCTTGGTCTACTGAATCCAAAAGGCTCCGGCCGCATCTAGCGGTGACGTAACATCTGACGTCACACGCTGTAGCGTGAGTCAGGCTGAAAAAGGCAGAAGACTTCATGTTGCTCCAAGCGAAATTGTGCAAAAACGGTAGGAAATAGCAAAAAGGAGTGAATACAACATTTGTAGCAGACACGTTGCTGAACATTTTAAAGCAAAAATGAGGTCTGTAGGTGAAAGTATGCAGAAGTTATAAGGGTGAGAAGGTGTTATAGCTGTATCTCCATTCATTTGTAATGGAACAAATTTTGCAGAAAAAGTGAAATATTGCAAAAAGTATAAATGGTAGAAAGGTGAAAAGTAATAGCAATAATGTCCTGAAGGAGTGCATTAGTATAAAGTTTGAATGGTTAAAATAGCACAAAGTGGTAAGGAGTTGAAAAGGGCCAAAAAAGGTACGGAAGAATAATAATAAAAATAATAAAAATAATAATAATAATAATAAAGAAATAGTAGAATAACAATAAGTGGAAATGCTGTGTCAGCATTTCCACTTAACTAGAAAAATTGCATTTCCTTGCAGAAAATGCGTGGAAATGCTGAGTGCTGAAAGACGAAAAAGCAATGCTAAACTGTCAGTAATAAATGGAGAAGGTATAAATGAAAAAACTGTTAAAGGGGTGAAGTGTTATAAGAAGTCGTATGAATGTTTCAACCGTAACAGAACTGAAGAAGAAGATGATGAAAAAGAGATGAGTTGTATGGATGTAAAAACACTGGGAAGAACTGAACTTGAACATTACAGAAAATATGGTAAAGAATTTTAAAGATGGCTGAAAAGGCCTTCATGTTTGAAGAATTAGAAATGAATGTAGATGAGAAATGAACACATTACACAAATATGTTTAATTTAAATATTTATGTTTAAGAAAAATAATTTTGTCAATCCTTAAACATTTTTTTAGCAATGAAATGATTAATGATAAAACATTAAAATAATAATAATAATAAAAAAATAAAAACATAAACACATAAAGAAACAGTGTTCCATAGTGCCTTAAATGAAAATTATAAACAATTTGTTTGTGAACAGGTATTGGAAGCAGAAATCTTTACATGGGTGACCAATCTGTCTCTTAAGCTTAAGGTTTTAAGATTGTAGTTGCTGTGATTGTTGATGGACAAAGGTATCACATTTTCAGTTGTTTCTAAAATAGTTTAGCCCAATCATTAAAGGCTCTTCACACAGTTGTTAGACTGAGGCTAACACCCCATTATTTACTGGATTCAAACTCCAGCAGCCCTGTACCCACATTCACCTCTTTTCTTGTGTTTTCGGATTACTAAGCCTTAACAAAAGTTGGCTCGTAAAATTTGTCATGGCCCATTAAGCCAAGTCCTGTGTTGTGGGCTTTAAAAACAGACCTTGCAATTTGATTTCAAAGTCTGATACAGGACTGTTATGTGTGTTTTTAAGGGTTTAGATTAGCCTAAGACTAAGTTTGCACATCTGAAAAACCTTTATACCTATACATAAAAAAATATATGAAAATGGTGACTTGAGAGTTATAAAAAAATAGTTACTACAATCGGTCAGCAGTATAACAACATAAATGTGAATACAAAAAGTATAAAATGGAACAAGAGGAATAGTATAATAATAATAGTAAAATAATGTGAAGGGTAAGGTAAAGAATGCAAATGCAAATAATGCAAAGTTATCCAGGCTTGTGGAAATATACAGGCAAAGTAAGGTGTAAGGCTTATGAATTAAATATGGCATTATAGTATTTTTTAAAGCTAACTGTAGTGAAATGTGGGCTCTCTCTTGTAGAAAAAAAGAAAATTATAGAATAATAAATAATTATAATAAACAAAATGAAATGATATGAAACTGAAACTTTAAATCTAAAATCTAAAGGATCAGATGAAAAAGTAGATTTGAGAACTAATGTGGAGGGTAAGGTAAAGAATGCAAATGCAAAAGATGCAAAGTCATCCAGGCTTGCGGAAATATACAGGCAAAGGTGAAAGGTTAACAACTTAAATATGGCACTGAAGTATTTTTTATAGCATGTATTGGTCCACCTTACCACCCAAAAGGCTTTTCACAATAGTTAGACCAAGGCTAGTACTGTCATCAGCTCATTGCAGTGGACTGATAATCTGGTCAGCATTTTAGATCCCAGTGTTTTCTTATCCAAACATTCACACTACTTGTCTTACTGAAATGCTGGGTTGTCTTCACGTTGATAGTTTCTTTTAAAAAACTTATCTACTATGGAGAATTACATTTTAAGGATAAGCATAAAAACTTTGTTCCTCTATGAAATCCATTCACACAGCTCGTTTGACCAAGCCCTGTGTTTGATGATTGTGACGACAACCTTCAGCAGGGATTGTTTCACACTATAATGCTGGGATCACTGCTGTCCAAGACATTAGCCCAAGACTAAGCACACGTGAAAAACCTGCAGTGTACCTACCAGCTGAAACCCCAAGTAAATCATTTATTTCTAAAAACATGTCTTCTCTTGTAGGTAAATTTGAGGGATATGGTGAGCATATTAAAATGAGAAATTCAGCTGCCTGCAACAACTGAAGTAACTGGTATTTTTTCCCTTCATCAGTGTTGGTCATCTTTTGATATAAGGACAGATACACAGTAAAAGGGAAAGACAATACTCAAATAAAATAGAACAAATAAAGTCCAAGAAACATAAAGGAAACTTAAAATATTAACAGATACCGACAACCGATCACTTAATGTAGAAAACAGGATTCAAAACAATATAAGAGTAAAAGTTGTCCTGTCCTGAAGACAATCAGTCAGTTCCTCAAGTGTGTACTGTGTTCTGTCTGGGCACTTTTTTTCAAAACCAAAAGCAGAGGCCGGTACAGTTCAGAGTGAAGGTAATGTTTTGACCTTTGACCTGTGGTTGTAGAATCGCCGTGTGCAGTTATCAGTGTTTAAGGTGACAGCATGACTGGAGTCAGAGGCAGGAGTAGGAGAGGCCTGAAAAAAACAAACAAAATCCTCTTCACTTGAACTTTGTAATCCAAACAAAAATCATGTGCTAACAGTAATACTGTGCTTTTCTATGTTTGTCAAACATGGTTATTGTTATGGGGCAAGGAAATACACCGTTACCTCAGGGACAGTTTAAAGCTGCAGTAGAGATGAACTGATGATCTGAATGTGATGACATCTGCTGCAGCTTGCTTCACAGGACTGCAGGACTTGTAGGATCACCTATTAGTTAGCTGCACTAGCTACACCGTGGATGAACAGACAGTGACTTGAAGTAGGAGAATGTAGCTGGTTGAAAACAGGAAATAAACAGAAACATTTGTGTTGATAATCTGTGAAACTAAACATATTGAATAAATACACACATCATTACAATGAATACCTTCAGCACTGCAGCAGAGCAAAAAATATTTCTGTCCAGAGCCACTTCACCAGGTCTGCAGCAGCAAAGCTTCCTCACACAGGGAGGCTCAAGGCGTAGGGTGGCTGCATGATGTCCACCTTTGGTGAGTTCAGCTGCCTGAGTGTCTAAGCTGTTCTTCCTTTCTTAACTGGCTTGAAGAAGACCTGGGAGAAAACACTGCTGTTAAAGACGATGATATCAGCAGAGCTGTACAATAGCGTCACAAGCATTAATACAGCAGCTAAGATAACAGAAAAAATAAATGAACACAAGTTCACTAAGACATTACCTCAGACTTTCTTGAAGAGGGGTTTATCTCTTGGAGGTTCAGCAGGAACGAGCCCAGTGAGTGACAGGTACTACAGCATCAGTTGTGCTTCAGTCTGGTGTCTGGTGGTCATTGAGAGCTGCTTCAGGACATCTGGAGCACGATCAGGTAAAACACATGTTTGTGTAGTCCATGAGAGAAGGGTCCTGGTGGGTGCTGCAGTCTGTCCAGCACAGCGGGTGATGGTTGTTGAGAGCAGCAGAGGGATGGTGTGGAGGATGTCATCTCTTCTTCACCTCCGACCAAAGACTGGGTTAAACAGCAGGTAGACTGTGTCTTTGAGTTGTCCAAAGTGATGTGTTTACTTCTGGTTGACGGTTTGATAATTTTTTTCTCCTCACAGTGAGCTAGTCAGGACAGCACTAATGGTCAGGTGAAAGATGGCAGAGACAACTGAAGAAGAAGAAAAAAATACCCAAACAAAAGGAAACTTATGTTTGCTCTAGTGTACTAACAGCCACCAATGCTAAGAGAGTGGTGTAAAGTTGGGTGGAGAAAAGGGGGGTTTCAGCTGGTAGGTCACAGAACATCAGAAAGTGTGTGTTCATTAGGGAACACACACTTTCTGATGGAGGTTTTTAATTTTAGCTGCTGTATACATTATTGTACACAGCAGCTGAGAGTTTTGGCCTGTGCATTGATCAATCCGCACCCACCCTCCCTATGTCCAGTCAAGTCAAGTTAAATGGATTAACTTGACTTGACTGGACTTGATAAATGCACAGGCCAAAAATTGTAATTTATAACATTTGAATAGTTGGAAAATTTTACAAGCTGAAAAATATTTTCTTTCGAAAAATTCTGAGCCATAAAAATATTTTTTGCAGTAGTAAAATTTACAATCACCGAACACATTTCAATCTGTACTGAAACTATGGCATTACATTAGCCACAGCTGCTGTAGTTTGTCTTTTCCTTAAGAGCAGTTTCCTCTATGACCTGTTGGATGAAATAACACAGTAAGTTGCATTGTGGTAACTGTAGTACGTCTGCACAATACCTGAGGAGAGACATAGCTGAGGTTGTGAGATGAAAATCAGGTCCAGCAGTGTGTTCTTGTCCGTTGTAGCAGCAGTGATCAGTTGACCATATCCCTTGGACTGAAAGAAATCCAAAATTGGCTTACTTGCATTAGAAAAGAGATTCTCATTGAAGTCGCCACAGACAATGATAGGATGACAGTCCATGATCTCAAGTGAGTCCAGAAGGCTTCCCAGATTGGACAGGAATGATGGCACACTGTAGTCTGGAGGTCTGTACACAGCTGCAATCAGAGCACTTACAGGAGATTCAACCTTCAAAGCCACAAACTCAAGGTCAGTCACATTATTCAGGTACTGCTTCTCCACAACCTGCAAATGGTTTTTCACATAAACAGCAACTCCACCACCTCCTTTACTGGCCATCTGTGGAAAGTTAGTGTAGGACAAATGTCTGTTGCGTTTGAACATGGTGTAGCCCTCAAACTGGAGACTGTCTGCCACAAAGGAGCCCTGTAGGTGAGTTTCTGTCAGACACAAAACATCTGCAAGACACAGTTCATGATGGCTTTTGGTGTCATTCACATGAGCAGGTAATCCTTCGGTGTTGTGATGAATGATGCTCACAGTGTCCTGTCTGCAGAGAGAATGCTGGATCTGGAGAAAAGGCATGATGTGATCAAAGTTAGCTTGCCTCATGGTCTCTAAAGATAAAGTGACTGCAGGGTTAGCATAGATTTTACTGTCATCCAAATCAAGCATGTGCAGTCCGCTGAGAGAGGTCACTCGACTGATAGCTACGTAGGCCATGCCGGGCTCAAAAATGTGCTTCAGTGAGACAACAGCAGATTTTCTGGTCATACCTTGAACCTTGTGGATCGTGCATGCAAAGGCAAGTTTTACAGGAAACTGTCTGCGTACCACTCCTCTCTGTTTTAGAGCCTCCTCAGATCTCTCGATGTACACAAGATTGTCTCCTCTTGTACGATAGCTCCTGCCAGCTGTTTCATCATCCATCGTAAGTCCAAGCATAGTGACAAGAGCAGAACCATTGTTTTCAGAGCTTATGAGACGGCCTACTGTAGCAAATGATCCATTCACCAATCCTTGAGACACATCAATGTTTCTGATGAGCATGACTCTAGCACCTACTGCAACATCTAGTGTGTCAGGTAGATCATTTCTGCTTCCATGACATGGTGCACCTTGTCTTTTCATGTGTCCAGTCTGTGGGTCTTTTTTAAAGTCATCTGCATCAATGGTGGTGATATCAGAATGGTGCTGAGATAGTGTAGCAGAGTTGTGTGCTGCGACTTGTTTGTTTGTAGCAAAAATGTGCAGGACATCAGAGGGACACAGTTGTGGTTCAGTGACACGCTGTGACAGCAGAGCTCTGTCAGCTTCAGAAAGCTCATCTGACCTTGTTTTCACACGAAGTCTGTTCAGCATCTCAGCAAAAGTTTTGTCATCCTTCTGTCGCATGATCTCATCTAAAGTGATCATCTGGAAGTTGTCTCTCCAGAGGTCAAGTTCACTTGGATCATAGACACAGAGTGGTTTGGACTGTCGCACAGGCGGTAGCTGGTAAAAGTCTCCCACAGCAATGACTGACATTCCTCCAAAGGGTTTGTGGCTGCCTTTAATCTGTTTCAGTCTCACATCCACATAGGCAAACAGAGGCTTCGACACCATGGAGATTTCATCAATGATGATGATTTCAGCATTTAAAAGCTCACACCTGATTTCATCAAGTTGGTTCCCAAGACCTTGAAAAGGAGGTTTCAAACTTCTGGGCAACTTGAGAAGAGAGTGCAGTGTTGTTCCAGAGATGTTAAAGGCTGCAGTTCCAGTGAAAGCAGTCAACAGCACAGTCGGGTTTGAGATGTCAGCTTCCTCAGCACGTCTAGGTAGTGTTCTCAGAATCTTTGATGCTTCTGAATGAATGCATTTAATGAGATGTGACTTTCCAGTGCCAGCACCACCATCAATGTAGTAGAAAAACTGCTCTGGTTGTAGTCCACAGACTCATTTTATGCACCAGTCTCTCACTGCATAGAACACACATGCCTGTTTCTGGTTCAGACTCTGATACATTTGTCGTAACCGTGTGGGATCGATTGTAGGGGGCTCTCTCATGACTCTGGCTTCTGTAGCAGCATTTGCTTGTCTACTGTAATCAGGTACATCCTCTTGGACATTTTCATCATCACAGTGTCTTGCATCCAGTTCATCAATACACTCCAACCTCACCAGTTCAGATTCAGGTGCCAAATTACACCATTCATCGACAATACCTTTGTTTTGTTCAAAGTCCTCCAGAGCAGAGTCAATTTCCTCACTGTTTTTTTCATATCTCTCTCTGTTTCTTTTCACAATGAGTTTCACACGCAGGGGTCGGTCAGAATACGGCAGCTGAACCACACCTCTCTCATAGAATGACTCATACGTGGGTAGATATGGTCTCTTCAGCTCATCGTCTGATCTGTATGGAAGATACAGTCTAAGCAATGTGCCGTAAAACTGCTCAGGGTATTTCTCTTTGGATATGCGGCGATACCTGATGACAGCAGCGTTGTCACTTTCTCGTCTCTGTATGAAGCCTAGTTCATTCAGCAAAGGTACCACTTTCTTGCCCTTGGTCTGTTGTCCATACACCAGTCTGCAGGTTGAAGCAAAATCAGCCATGCACATCTCTTCAAACTCTGGTGATTCAGGTCTGGATTTGTACTTGTCTGTTAAGGATGTCATCCACACATTCAAGCTGTCTGGTGTAGTGTTGTCAAGGCTTGACACAGGCAGACTCATTTTCACTGGGTTGTCATCAGTTGGGACAAAAACCACACTGCGTGAACTCTTTTTCATGTTCAGGGAAGTCACTCGGGCAACAGCTTCTTGTGCTGATACTTCTCGTTTTTGGAATACGCCTGCATGACCGCTTTCATTTCATCACATTCATTGACACATTCTCTGTCGGAGTTCTGAATGAGTGTTTGCAGGTACTGGCTCACAGAGTTCTCACTTTTACACATGTATGTACATATGTAATGGATCAGACTGTAGTATGTGAGAATAAACTGCACATCAATGTTTGCATCCCAAGCTTTGAGCAGGTGAGGGTTGTAGGTGTTTACCCAGCAGTCTTTTGGCTCACGCTTCAGAATGATGTTGCTGGACTGACTCATCACATTCATGTGTTTCTCATACTCATCAGCGGTTAAGTCACAGACAGACAGGAGCTGTTGAAAACTCATGGATTCAGTTTCAGGTTTATTCAGCAGCTGATTTAGCGGTGCAAGTTTCTCTTTGGCTGTCTTTAGTCTCTCTGACTCCTCATCGTCATCCACAGGTCTTGTTATCATTGTCTGTCTGGAGGGTGGTTTTGGGAATCCAAAACGGCATCCTGAACTTGCACTTTTGAAACATGTCTTTGAGTGGTTCTTACTGTGTATTTGCACTTCTTTGACCTTTTTGTAGAGTTCAGGCTGTTTATTTGGGTCAGGGAGCTGAGCAGAGATGTGTTTGGACACAAAGTCACACACAGTTTTATCAGAGTCTCTCTCAAACACAGGTGCACCTTCTACCCACAAAAGACCATGAATGTGAGGACTTCCTCTGTGCTGAAACTCGAGGCGCCAAAAGAAGTCAAAAACTTTGCCCAGGGGTTGTGCAGGAGACATGATCAGATCTCTGTACAGTGCTTCAACACGCTTATCAAACATGCGCATCGTTGTCACAGGATTGCTTCTCAGAATGTCACACTTTGTGGACCAGTCAAGCTCCTCAAAATTCACTTCCTCACCTTGTTGTAATTTTATTGCAATAATCACCTCAGGCCAACGCATTTCTGCTGCAGAAAATGTGACAAAGAAAGTAGGACTGCCCAGCTGTCTGATCATAGCAAACAGATCTTTTGTAGTTTTGTCCCAGTAGGCTGGTGTTCCTCTGAGCGGCTGCATAAATCTGATAGCATCTCTGTTTCTCACCAGTCTCTCCACTTCAAGTTTTTCTCTCAACATCTTGGATGTTATTTTTCGTCCATCTCTGGTCAAAGGTTTGCCTTTGCGTAACTGTATTGACATGCTGGAGGTAGCCAAGTGTATTTCAGTCACAAACTGTGCAAAGAACAGGTAGTTGGTATCTTTGGCAAAGCGATCATCAACACCAAAGAGCCTTGCTTTGAAATAACTACTGGGTGATAGTTTCATGGGTCTGTTTTCATCCAGTGTATTCTCACCAGTGGGAAACTGAACAGGGAACGCCATGGCCTCTAGTTTGGGTATTTTGAAAAAACTGACTGGACTGTTTCTCTCTGCTGGAGCTACTGAGTATGTTGAGTCACTGAAACACAATATCTCCTCAGAAACATCCCGTGGCTGAAGGCACGACTCCAAAACAACACCACCATTATGCATGTCTGCGTCCTGTTGTTGTGTCTGATCATCATTGTCCTGGGTCTGACTTTTATCACACAGGTCTGTGTTCTCATCGTCATTTTCAACATTAGTTTCAACGTCATGCATGGCAGCAGCCTCAATTCTATCAATCTCCATCAAATCGTCATCGTCATAGTCGTCATCATTCATTGTAATATCATTACCATCGTCTTCATCCTCATCACCATCATCAGGAAGTGTGGGGTCACATAACTCCTCCTCATCTCTGATAGTTATGTCTTCATACTGGGGGTGTATCTCTTTCAGTTTATGCAGAGCTTGCACTAGCTTGGACCAGGTAACAGTCTGAAACAGATGGTGACCTCTGTAACTCAAACGTCTCTTCAGTTTTACTCTCATCACCTGAGACTCATTTCTCAATCTTGGTAGAGCCTGAATTGTCTCCTGGACTTCAGAGGGAACACATACAACATTGCCATGTATAGCTCTCTGTCTGCCTTTGGGAAGAGGAATGATTTTGGCAAATGTTATGCACTTTGCTATCAGATGTCTCTCCAGTATGTTGAGGTCACACAGCTCAGGTGGTATGTCAGCAAGCTCCAAGTTGTTTGCTATGGCAAGTTTGGGCATGGATCCATTTTTCAGATGGTTATGGCAGGTGTGACAAATCCACTCAGTCTTCCTCTCATCAGGGACAGTGCACTGATTTCTGCAGTTATCATTACACTCATGGACGTACTGACCTTTTAGACAAGCTGAAACCATGATTGGATTTTTCATATAGTTGGACCTTTTGCACTTTTGCACCTGGTTTGGAAATGAGGCTTTGTGACAAACTGTGCAAACATGGGTGGGACCAGCTTTAATGTGTGATCGGAAATCACTGATGGCACTTTCAATAAGTGGGTTTTCACTCTCTCTGTCAGTCTGACGTGTTCGTTGACTTATGGCTTTATATTTCTGTGATATTTTCAATGCACATCTGGTTTTATGCATAGTCCTGTATGCAAGATTTTTCTTGTACCTGTCTCGCATCATTCGCCTCATCAGCTGTCTGTGTTGGTGGCGGAATATATCATTTGCATATCGATGATGCATAAAGGATCGCTGTCTTTGCCGGAAATTTACATCCTCTGAGTATTTTTTCCTGATATATTCTTTTTGTCTGGTTTTAAAAGCAACATTTTCTGAGTATTTTGTAGTGATATATTGTTTTTGTCTGGCTTTAAAAGCAACATTTTCTTTGTATTTTGTAGTGATATATTGTTTTTGTCTGTCTTTAAAATGCACATTTTCTCTGTATTTTTTGGTGATATATTTTTTTTGTCTGTCTTTAAAATCCACATTTTCTGTGTATTTTTTGGTGATATATTTTTTTTGTCTGTCTTTAAAATCCACATTTTCTCTGTATTTTTTGGTGATATATCTTTTTTGGCTGTCTTTAAAATCCACATTTTCTCTGTATTTTTTGCTGATATATTTTTTTTGTCTGTCTTTAAAATCCACATTTTCTCTGTATTTTTTGGTGATATATCTTTTTTGGCTGTCTTTAAAATCCACATTTTCTCTGTATTTTTTGGTGATATATCTTTTTTGGCTGTCTTTAAAATCCACATTTTCTCTGTATTTTTTGGTGATATATCTTTTTTGGCTGTCTTTAAAATCCACATTTTCTCTGTATTTTTTGGTGATATATTTTTTTTGTTTGTCTTTAAAATCCACATTTTCTCTGTATTTTTTGGTGATATATTTTTTTTGTCTGTCTTTAAAATCCACATTTTCTCTGTATTTTGTTGTCATGTATAATTTTTGCCTAAATCTGAAGTCTGTGCTTTCTCTGTATTTACTTGTGATCTTTTTTCTTTTCTTTGTCTGTATTTCAGGATCGACAGAATATTTGCTCATTGAATAACATTTTTTCTTTGCTTTATAAGTTTCATCCTTTGCATACTTTTCTCTCTCTTTCCTTTTTTGATTGTCTTTCTTTTGTGGTGTCTTGTCAGGTGTCATTACTCTCCTCAGAATTTTTTTCTTTTCTGCTTTGTTCCGTTTTGACAGCTTACTGGAGATCTCATTGAGGACATTGTCACTGGTGACAGGGATATTTATTAATGGTTGTGTGAAATTTGATTGTGTCTCCTGAATTTGCTGTGATTTCAAAGCGTTATCGCTGATTTGCTCAGGTCGATGTGCTTGTGTTTCTATCAGGGTTGAGCGGTCATGAGAGTCATCAGTTACAGTAGTGGTAATCTGTGGAGCAAGAGATTTAGGTCCAGTTAATGTGACAGAACACTGGGTGAACTCCATCAGTTGTTCCTGTTCAGTTTCCATGTCATGCTCAGTGTTTTCATGGATATCAATGTTCATCTGTGGAGTACTTGTGTCATCATTTATCACAGTGGTTGTTACAGAGGAACTTGTAGACATACCTTCTGTGGCTGGGATAGCATCAATTGGGTTCACATCATAAAACACGACTGGTTTGAGCTCATACTTACAGGACTCTGGGGTCAACAATATGTGGTGATAACTGATCAACCTGTGAATCATGTCACTGAGTCGTGTAAATGTGACCATGACTGCAGTGCCAGGAGTACTTGTAGGCTGGAGTCGAGGCAAACCATGAGGTGTCCTAGCATGTGGGTCAAAGAAACCATATCTGCCATTTCTGGTCCTGAAAACTGCAATGCACAGTGACGCCATCAGCAGCAAAGCATACTGCACATCTGATAATAAGCAGCTCAGTCCCATCTCGAGGTCCAGAAAGGTATCAACAGCTCCGGGATCCGGATCTCCAAACGTACCGTATCTAGACAGCTGTAACTTGTCAACTCTCTGCGTGTGATTACGTGCAGGTACCCGATTAGGGAGCTCATCAGTTGTGAGATGGATGTGATCACGAACTGTTTTTCTGACTTGTTTATACATCACATTGCCTTTATCCAAAACACGGTCTAGGTCTGCTCTGGTGATGTTTTCATTCTCATACAGGAATGCTAGAAATGTCAGTGAGTTACAGGTGCACTGCTTGTTTCTGAATCGTCTATATTTCAGAGATGCTTGACTGCGTGAGGCACACACACTTTGTTCTCCTGACTGGTATGCAGTGTTTACATTTTCATGTCGAGAAGAGCCTGATACATTTACATCACTACAGTTCTTTCCAATGTCTCCATACGATACCTGAGTGGAACATGACTCAACACTAGCAACTTTTCTTTTCAACATGTTTGCATTTGTTACCTGTTGTACATCTGGATCATTGCTTTGACTTCTGTGCTTTATCGGTCCACAATCAGACGGGCCTGCTATGTGAGGTTCATATACATTCCTTTTAGGCACATCTGCATTAGACACCTGTGATAAACATGATGCACTTTGACCTCCCTGGTTCACAGTGTTAACATCAGATACCATAGCCTTCCTTGTCTCTGCACTGATCTGAGGAGCACAATCTGCTTGTTCAGTAGTTACACAATCAATGTCACGTCTGTTCTGCCAGCGCTCACTTGCAGCCTGTGACCTCTTACTTTTCCTAGGCATTGTAGCTATCCTTTGACAACAATGATTTTATACAACAATGTCCAATTATTAATTACACCAGAGTGGACAGAAATGCTTTATTGTTTTCAGAAACTACTTTATTTAACAGAAACACAAATCAATAACAAATGTTTAGATGTCAGGACTTTTTTGTTAAAATAAAATTCAAGTCAAAAATAATAAAGGTGTATTTTTCGAACTCAAAATGAATGAGGCAGGAGCGGTGATGGTGATGAAACTTCTTCAGGTGAAACTGTAGAGCAACAGACAGGAAAGGAAGAACTACAAGAACAATAACACTTGTGCAAAATTAGTGCTTTTTCAGAACAGTAGTTGTTTTAAAAGTAAGCTGTTTCAAAGATTTTGCTGTTTCAAAAGTATTGCTTTTACACGCGATCAGTTGAAAAAAATAAGCTTGTTTCCAAAAAGTGTTCTCAAAGTGTCTGAATGCCCGTTTTTAAGGCTCTAAAAGTGGTAGAAAGGCTGTCAAAGGCAGTTAAAGCCTTTCTTAAAGGCTTTCACAACGGTTTTTAAAGGCTGTCAAAGGCTGTGGTAAAGGCTTTCAAAATAGGTTGTAAAGGCTGGCAATAGCTGTTCAAATAGTCAGAGTTGGATAGAGGAGAGATAGAAAGGCAGAATGTCCAAAATGATAGGAGAGAGTGGAGGGACAGTACAGGATATCTGTAAGAAAAATGGAAATAAATATTAATTATTTGTATGAAATATAATAAATACATTTAAATCAACCGACATTCACCCAAAACTAATGTCATTATAATGTGCTTTCGTTCAAAGTAACATATGGCAATTTTGACTACACATCTATTCAAAGTCTAGTTGAGTCAAATGCTGAAACTGAGCATTATGTTATTTGATCATCTTTTCAAAAATGTATCAGGACTGAACATCTAAAATGTTACTAAATAGATGAAGAAATGTATGTACGACCTCAGTGTATTTTACGAAAAGATGCATCACCCACTTATCTTGAATGGTGATATAATTCAATGTTAATTGCCTTAATAATAATGTTCATAAGCATGTGATCAAATATTATGTGTATGAAAGTAACCTCAATTGTGTAGAAAGTACAGAAAGAGAGGTGTGTGTAAAATGTGTACAATAAAGGCACACAGTCATATTCATAAAAATGTCATTCATGTATAAACTTACACTGACTGGCAAGCGGTCTGCAGTTAAACACAAGGTGGAGTCACTAAGGGGGGAAATGGAAAAATAGAGATGAAACATTTAGAGTTTAATTGTCAAAAAAGGAAACATTACACTATAATATACGTTCAATTGTTAACAAGCAGCAAAAGTATTAACATTTGTTTCAGCTTAACTTAAGATAAAGCAAAGTTTTAAATGGTTAACGTTACAATTCAGTAAAAAGATGCAGCAGTTCGTGAAATTATGACATGATGTAGGGTTTTACATAATGTGTTGTAAACAGTAACAGTATTCACACATTAACATGTATTTGTGTTAGTGAACTTTCAGCTGAGTTGGCCGCAATGGTCTGCATTAAAGAGATAGAATAGCCAATTTCAGAAGCAGTGAAATTATTGAGAAAGAAAATGTAAATGTAAATGTAGTTGCCAAACAATCATTATGTCATACTTAATTGGAGGCACAACCATTTTTCATTGACAATCATTAGTTTTGTCATTTCTTATCCAAGTTCATGTATTATACCACATAATTATTGGAAAGATTATAGTGAAGCAACCTTGGCCTGAAAAACATGAAGCTTAAAATGTAGAAAACATGTCATACACAATGAAAAAGCCTTTTCACTATTTACTCTCTTATGTCTATAATTAAGATGAAATCCAAACAGTAAATTGTCATTACAGACTGCAGATAAATAATATGACATTACAGTGATAACTTAAGTGGATATAACTGTGAAATTACGCTTTAGAGTTCAAAGGTGGGTTTGGCAAAGGTCAGAGGAAAACACAATGCAGGAGGAGGGAATGAGGGAGAAAAACAGATATTTAATACTCTTTACAACAAACAACCTCACAGCTCACTTCATTCACTCATTTTCCCAAAAGATTTTCCCTCATCATTATTATGAAAATCAAGTCACACTTTCCCAGCAAGTTCAAATGTTTTGAATAAACAAATGTAGTTGTGTGGTAATATTGTTAACACAGTTGTCCACCAGGAAAAAATGTATCCCATATATATATGTATATATATATATATATATATATATATATATATATGTACATATATATATATATATATTATAGGATATGCAGTAGTGATACAGAAAGATCAACATTTAATATCTAATTAAAGTCAGTCTTTATTAGATGCATCATCTGTTGAAATATATGTTTCATGAGTTCTTGTTTACCAGGATAAAGCAAAACATTTATCCAGCTAATTTTTAGAGTATTATGTGACTTTTGGTAATAACACTTGTACTTACCAATAAACGCACGGGAGTGGTATAATCTTCTGTTTGTTTGAGACAAAAAACAATACATTAGTGCTATCTGTCAGATACATAGTTCATTAAAACAGCAGGCCTATGAGAAAAGCAACATTATTACAGTCATAATAGTAATAGAAAATGAAACAGCTCTAAAACATCACCTCACTGTTAGCTGCAGCTTAAAATGTCACAGAACACCTTTTATGAAGTATTTCAAACTCATATAAAGTAAACGTATGGTACAGTAGTAGATAAATTTCAGCATCAGCTACTGAAGCAAAAACAGAGGAGAAGGTGGTTCACAAGTTTCAAGGCAGCTTACAACCCATCCATTAAATCAATATTCATTTGAACTTGTGGTTGTAGAACACATATGTAGATAATGTGATGTTTGACATTGTAAATATCTGTATCATTACCATCATGAATAACCCCCTCAATAAATAGAAGAGCATGTTGTATAATTTTAACACATAAAAAAATATAATTTCAAATGTGTTACAACTAGGTGCTTGGTAAAGATAACCTATATTAGCAAAAACATCTACAAAATTGATAGAAAGTAATCAGGAGCTTAACAGCTAACATCCCCGTGTCAATTACCCAGCTGTTAATATGACAGAGTAACAGTAATCAACAGTGTGTTACCTTTAGCAACGGCGCTACAGACACAATCGTCTCCCATTAACAAATGCTCTTCAATAGCAATACACCCCGTCACATTGATGAACTTTATAAAGTAAATATTAGCTGGCACGGTGTATAACATGACGCCAGCTCACATATTGAGTCAATATTGTGTATTTCAGCAAGCACATGACTCAGCCTTATTAGTAGTATGTTGTTAGCTTTAGCGTTAGCTCGACGCTAATAGCTTTAGCGTCATATAGTTTAACAGTATCATATGTACTTTACGCATTTTCAAGTCAATATCTCGACCTCTCACATCCTCTTAATCGAATATAACTCAAACCAGTGTCATGTAGAAACGTTAAATCCTCATTTGTAGTGTCTGGACATTAACAGAGACTGTGCATCGACTTACCTGAGCAGAGTCTGACACAGAATACCGTGGGTTCACACAGACACACAGTTGACGTCTTTGAGACATTCAGGAACACTCGGAAATGTGACACTTGAAAACACATGACGGTATTATGCTGCCAAAGAATGTTTATTTACTTGCGTGTGCACGCTTGCGTGCGTGTCTGTGTCAATAAGCCGAATGTCAGCACAACTTTAAAAACTGGTCACCTGCTGGCTAAGCGTTAGGGTCGTATATTTGTCCTGCACATATACAAATAAAACACATTTGTAGGAAACGTAGAAAGAAGCTGAAAAATTACCTTTAATTGTACAAAACTTGTATAAAGCTGACAATAAACTTTAAGTACAGGAAATAAAGAAGGGATGTATATAGTAGTTATCATATAAGTAGTAATAAAGTCACACTCATACTCACATTATTATTAGCAGAAGTATAATTAAAAGACGTGTGCAGTCTGCATCTCAACCATAGACTGTATATAAGACTTCAGACCTATTTTGTGAGAAGCAGGACGAGTGTACCTCCATTTTGATGTGTTTTTTATGGCTGTGGAGTGAAAATTGCGGCCGTGGCAGCAATATAATCACGCTTGGTCTACTGAATCCAAAAGGCTCCGGCCGCATCTAGCGGTGACGTAACGTCTGACGTCAGACGCTGTAGCGTGAGTCAGGCTGAAAAAGGCAGAGAACTTCATGTTGCTCCAAGCGAAATTGTGCAAAAACGGTAGGAAATAGCAAAAAGGAGTGAATAGAACATTTGTAGCAGACGAGTTGCTGAACATTTTAAAGCAAAAATTAGGTCTGTAGGTGAAAGTATGCAGAAGTTATAAGGGTGAGAAGGTGTTATAGCTGTATCTCCATTCATTTGTAATGGAACAAATTTTGCAGAAAAAGTGAAATATTGCAAAAAGTATAAATGGTAGAAAGGTGAAAAGTAATAGCCGTAATGTCCTGAAGGAGTGCATTAGTATAAAGTTTGAATGGTGAAAATAGCACAAAGTGGTAAGGAGTTGAAAAGGGCCAAAAAAGGTACGGAAGAATAATAATAATAACTAGAAAAATTGCATTTCCTTGCAGAAAATGCGTGGAAATGCTGAGTGCTGAAAGCTGAAAAAGCAATGCAAAACTGCCAATAAAAAATGGAGGAAGGTATAAACGGAAAAACTGTAGAAAAGGTGGAGTAGAAGAAGAAGAAATTGTATGAATGGAAGAATTGTAGTATAGCTGGAGGTAAATTAGTTGGATTAATGTACAAATTGTCTGATAGCCTAAGTGAAAAATGTATATGATTGATGTGAATAAACAGAACTGATATGGATAATTGAATTTGAAAAACAAATGCCTTTAAACAATGTGTAACAATGTTCCTATTAAATGTACAAATAGTAAAACAGATTTTTGCAGTCTGCAGCATCCAACCATAGTAACTTGAGAATGCAGAAGAGCACCATCTATTGCCCTGCTTCAGTTACTGCCCTACATCTGAATGTAGAAAGTATGAAACAGCTGAAGTTAAATTAATTGTATAAATGTAGAAAGTATAGAAAAGAAAAGCAGAAGTAGAAGAAAAAGAAGAAGTTAGTATGTTAAAAGAGTTAAAGACAAGAACTGTAACAACAAAGTTCATATTGGGGCTGTATTTTCTACTGACAGAGAGACAGCAATCCACACATGGAAACAGTGTGTGTGTGTGTGTGTGTGTGTGTGTGTGTGTGCCCGCGCGCGCGCGCGGCCGAGCCTGTGCGTGTGCATGTGCGTGTGTGATCGAAGCACACAGCCCATGACAAGTGCAGAATCTGACAGAGACAGTAAGAGAGAAAGAGACACAGTAATGCACTCATGGAAACAGTGTGTGTGTATGTGTGTGTGCCCGCGCGCGCACGAGCGGCCAAGTCCGTGCGTGTGCGATCGAAGCACACAGCCCATGACAAGTGCAGAATCTGACAGAGAGATAGTAAGAGAGACACTAATGCACTCATGGAAACAGTGTGTGTGTGTGTGTGTGTGTGTGTGTGCCCGCGAGCGCACGAGCGGCCGAGTCCGTGCGTGTGCATGTGCGTGTGCGATCGAAGCACACAGCCCATGACAAGTGCAGAATCTCTGGCTCTGAAGGAATGTACTCACCTCCTGGGCAAGCTGTACAATTTCATGACTTCAGACCGATTTTGTGAGAAGCAGGACGAGTGTACCTCCATTTTGATGTGTTTTTTATGGCTGTGGAGTGAAAATTGCGGCCGCAGCAGCAAAATAATCATGCTTGGTGTAGTGAATCCAAAAGGCCCCGCCCGCATGTAGTTATGACGTCAGACGCTGTAGCGTGAGTCAGGCTGAAAAAGGCAGAAGACTTCATGTTGCTCCAAGCGAAATTGTGCAAAAACGGTAGGAAATAGCAAAAAGGAGTGAATACAACATTTGTAGCAGACGAGTTGCTGAACATTTTAAAGCAAAAATGAGGTCTGTAGGTGAAAGTATGCAGAAGTTATAAGGGTGAGAAGGTGTTATAGCTGTATCTCCATTCATTTGTAATGGAACAAATTTTGCAGAAAAAGTGAAATATTGCAAAAAGTATAAATGGTAGAAAGGTGAAAAGTAATAGCCGTAATGTCCTGAAGGAGTGCATTAGTATAAAGTTTGAATGGTGAAAATAGCACAAAGTGGTGAGGAGTTGAAAAGGGCCAAAAAAGGTACGGAAGAATAATAATAATAAAGAAATAGTAGAATAACAATAAGTGGAAATGCTGTGTCAGCATTTCCACTTAATAACTAGAAAAATTGCATTTCCTTGCAGAAAATGCGTGGAAATGCTGAGTGCTGAAAGCTGAAAAAGCAATGCAAAACTGCCATTAAAAAATGGAGGAAGGTATGAATGGAAAAACTGTTGAAAAGGTGGAGTAGAAGAAGAAATTGTATGAATGGAAGAATTGTAGTATAGCTTAAGGTAAATTAGTTGGATTAATGTACAAATTGTCTGATAGCCTAAGTGAAAAATGTATATGATTGATGTGAATAAACAGAACTGATATGGATAATTGAATTTGAAAAACAAATGCCTTTAAACAATGTGTAACAATGTTCCTATTAAATGTACAAATAGTAAAACAGATTTTTGCAGTCTGCAGCATCCAACCATAGTAACTTGAGAATGCAGAACAGCACCATCTATTGCCCTGCTTCAGTTACTGCCCTACATCTGAATGTAGAAAGTATGAAACAGCTGAAGTTAAATTAATTGTATAAATGTAGAAAGTATAGAAAAGAAAAGCAAAAGTAGAAGAAAAAAAAGAAGTTAGTATGTTAAAAGAGTTAAAGACAATAACTGTAAAAACAAAGTTAATATTGGGGGTGTATTTTCTACTGACAGAGAGACAGTAATGCACACATGGAAACAGTGTGTGTGTGTGTGTGTGTGTGTGTGTGTGTGTGTGTGTGTGTGTGTGTGTGTGTGTGTGTGTGTGTGCGCGCGCACGAGCGGCCGAGCCCGTGCGTGTGTCATCGAAGCACACAGCCCATGACAAGTGCAGAATCTCTGGCTCTGAACGAATGTATTCACCTCTTGGGCAAACTGTACAATTTGATGACTTCAGACCTATTTTGTGAGAAGCAGGACGAGTGTACCTCCATTTTGATGTGTTTTTTATCGCTGTGGAGTGAAAATTGCGGCCGTGGCAGCAAAATAATCATGCTTGGTCTAGTGAATCCAAAAGGCTCCGCCCGCATCTAGTGATGACGTCACACGCTGTAGCGTGAGTCAGGCTGAAAAAGGCAGAAAACTTCATGTTGCTCCAAGCGAAATTGTGCAAAAACGGTAGGAAATAGCAAAAAGGAGTGAATACAACATTTGTAGCAGACACGTTGCTGAACATTTTAAAGCAAAAATGAGGTCTGTAGGTGAAAGTATGCAGAAGTTATAAGGGTGAGAAGGTGTTATAGCTTTATCTCCATTCATTTGTAATGGAACAAATTTTGCAGAAAAAGTGAAATATTGCAAAAAGTATAAATGGTAGAAAGGTGAAAAGTACTAGCAATAATGTCCTGAAGGAGTGCATTAGTATAAAGTTTGAATGGTAAAAATAGCACAAAGTGGTAAGGAGTTGAAAAGGGCCAAAAAAGGTACGGAAGAATAATAATAAAAATAATAATAATAATAAAGAAATAGTAGAATAACAATAAGTGGAAATGCTGTGTCAGCATTTCCACTTAATAATAAAGAAATAGTAGAATAACAATAAGTGGAAATGCTGTGTCAGCATTTCCACTTAATAATAAAGAAATAGTAGAATAACAATAAGTGGAAATGCTGTGTCAGCATTTCCACTTAATAATAATAAAGAAATAGTAGAATAACAATAAGTGGAAATGCTGTGTCAGCATTTCCACTTAATAACTAGAGAAGGCAATTTCTGAAGAAATTGCGAGTGGGATTGCTTCAGTTGAAATTGCTAGCGCTAAGCTGCTATTGCGAACAGCTGAATTTTAAAAATATGTGAAAGATAAGAAGGTTTGAATCAATTGGATGAATTTATTGAATAATGCAAGAAGAAAAAATTCAATGTGTGAAAATTTAAATCATAAAAAATCGTATAGTGTGAGACAGGCTTGAAGAATCAAAGAAGTTTGAACTTCTTAAAAAATATTTGTATTTTGTTTGAAGAATTCATTAATGTATGAATAGTGAAAATTTCAATAAGTTTGAAAGACTTAAGAATTGAATACAAGATTCTGTTGCAAATGGCTTAATTTTGAAGATTTGTGAAAGATAAGAAGGATTAAATTATCTTGAAGGTATGAATCAATTCAAATGAATTCATTGAAAAATGTACGTAGAAAAAGAATAAAATCGACAAAAAAATATAAACAATCCTTTGCCGGGATTGGAACTCGCGGCTACTAAGGAAAAATCCACTTACTTTACCACTCACCCACGCAACCATCATTTTTACAGTAGTCCGGCTACAACCTTAATAAACCAGCAATAGTCCCTCGGGCCGGGGACCAAACCTCCGGTACACACCGGGATGATGTGTCCCTTCCAACAGGTGAACAATACCCATGGACCAGACGATCGGAGAGTCGCGGGCAGACGAGAATTCAGGAAGTACGGCCGTGTGTTTAATTGCAACATCCGATATTATGTTTATCCGAAGTTAAATTGGCTACTCTGTAACGACTTTAAGCTGATATACTGTGACGGCCACATTGTAGCCACTGAAAAGGGGGCTGCCTAACGTTACAGCTGACAGATATTAACAAAACGGTATCTGGCCTAACCTTATCTCGTTGTTTCTGTGCATATGTATACAATTGCTACCAACTTCACTATGTGGAAATCTGGAAATATATAAATATTTATTATGTGAAAGATAAGAGGGATTGAATCATCAGGAAGGTAGAATCAATTCAAATGATTTCATTGAAAAATGTATGAAGAACAAGAATAAAATCGACAGTCTTTATTAGACATAAGAGAACCGGAGAAAAGAAACAGTTGCTCCCTTGCCGGGATTCGTACTCATGTCCACTGAGGGAGAACCCGCTGCTTTACCTCTCAGCCACGCAACCATAAAGCTTGCCACGCACCGGTAACAATGCTTATAAACCAGCTACAGTCCCTCGGGCCGAAACTCCCGATGCTGGCGTGCAACACGGGGACCAAACCACCGGTACACTAGAGGATGAGATTTTTCGGGAATTCCCGTAGGTCACGTGATTCCCTCGGGAATCCCACTGGACGGGAGTCATTTTTTCTACCTCCGTGCTACATGAGTAAAGCAAACAACGGAGGGAGAAAGCAGCCTTGGAGGAGAAACATCCAGCAGTGCGAACAACCTCTTCATATGGAGTGCTTTGGCTCACACTATCGGCGTTTTCTGTGAGTGTTGCATGACTTTGTGTGAGCACAGAGATGAACACATTGTGTTACGTGTCACATTGGAGAATGCATGCATATTGAAATAATTGCAATGTGCTGAAATTAAGAATCATAAAAAAATCATGAAGTATGAGTTGGACTTTTTGTTTGAAGAATTTGATAATACATGAATAATAAGAATGATTTTAAAGTGGGGAAAATTTGAATGAATGGAGAAGTTAAGGGCATCTGCTCCAAAAACTGACAACTGTTCAATATACTTACAGATACTAGTTAAGTATAAGCAGGTTTCAGGTATTTATATTAACCAGTTGTCAGTTTTTGAAGCAGATCAGGGCACCTGCTTGTTCACCCCCATATTCCTCCAGCCTAGGCAGAACATGCACAGGAGAGGTGTGCAGCATACACATCTCCTCCCCTGCTTCACCAGCCAGGAAACACAGAAATATATGGAGTGTATTGTTTTCCCCCCTGTACCTCAGTTAATGAGCTATAACTTGCACTTATTCGTCTTTGTTGTGAACTAGTCTGTCTCATGCAGCACCATACATGTTGGGCCTAAACTAGCCAACCGCACACCTGCTGAACAGCTCAACACTCACCATTACCCTAAATCAGTGGTTCTCAAATCCAGTCCTCGAGCCCCCCATCCTGCATGTTTTGGATGTTTCCCTGCTCCAACACACCTGATTCAAATGATCAGCTCGTTATTAAGCCATTACAGAGCTTGATAACGAGCTGATCATTTGAATCAGGTGTGTTGGAGCAGGGAAACATCCAAAACATGCAGGACGGGGGGGCTCGAGGACTGGATTTGAGAACCACTGCCCTAAATGGATATTATGTGATGACCTTCAGGTAGGTAGCGGCAGATACCAGGTAAGTTCAGCGGGTTTCAGGTAGGTATATTGAACAGTTTTCAGATTTTTGGATTTTTGGATAATTTCACCTGCTTGTCCACTTTACCCCCCCAGCCTCAAGGTGCTTGAGCTGATGGGTCAAGGAGACAAGGGCAGAGTGGTGGGGGAAGATACAGCAGCAGAAGATGAGAGGCACAATACGCTGTGAGAGTGGTGAGTCCCTACACTACAGGACTACAATCACTACTACACTACAAAATCCATTTTGTATAACAATTTTTAATAACAAATTCATACAGTTCTTGGATTTTTGATTTTTCAAGTCATGCAATTTTATTTAAATAATATATGATGGAACAGATATATGTGGGAAAAATAATAAACATTTAAAATTGGTTTAAATAAATTCATTGGGCTAAAGATTAAGGTTTTTTTTGTACAGAACCAATATTGTAAGATTTTCAAATTTTAATTTAATACATTTTTAAAATAAGCACCACTAAATGAATTAATATCAATCTAGAATAAGTTCATAACATTTTTCTAAAATTAACAATTAAAAGCTTAACTATTTACAGAGCAAGGTCAATTCATTTTATCTATTTACAAAATCTCGACCACATTCCCCTCCTCAAAAATTATTATAATTTTTTCTGGCATAGTAGCCAAAGCATCTGGGAATTTTTCGTCCCACATTTCTTTGGGTACAAACCAATCGACATTCTGGTCATCCAGTATCTGGATACAGTCATTCCCGTCATCGCAGAATCCTTTGATTGACACCAGGATCTGCTTGGTTGTCATCTGCAGAAGAGAAATATTTTACACAGTGCACTCCATCATGTTTGGACCAAGGCATAGGTTCAATTTTACTGCTTAGAGATTTTCTGCACACTTGATTGTACAATCAGATCAGAGGCCTGTACTACGAAGCTGGATTTGGTCTTAGCGAGATAACTTCTGGATAACTTCTGGGTTTTCCGTACTACGAAGGTGGATCTCTTTTTATCCGGGTCCGTTGCCCCGGTAACTTACGCGGAACGCCAAACCTACTCCGAAGCAGGTTATGTTTCAGGATAAGATCTCAGCAGGTATAAAAACCGCCCACTGACCAATCGGATCTCTTGGAAAATGGCTTGCCCAATCTTGCCGGATCCCGGGGACATCGTTGCACGGATAGTGAGAGAAGCGCTTCGTCGAGAGCACTATATTCATGATCGTTCATATCCGTTTGATTTACCTGATGATGTTCTCTATGAACGTTACAGGTTTTCCTCGGACAGCCTCAATATTCAGGTAACATGAAGTCTAAGCAATGCACAAATATTTGCCAAGCTCCAGGTTACAATTTCATGCGGCATATCAGTCATCATTCAGAATTTATTGAAGCAGATTAGAAAACTCTTAACCCCAAATGTGTCTGCAGATGACATGTGACTATCAGATGATGGAAAAAAAAAAAAGGCAGTGTGAGGAAATCACTGTTAACGTGTTGAAATGTGTACTAATAAAATCTTCCAATAAACTAACAAACTACTTAAAAGGATGTTTTTAGATTTATTTTTATTTGCTCCCACGTACTCTTTCCCCCACTGCTGTTGTATCTGAAATAATGAGGTCATTGATGGAGGTGATCACTAGCATGACAACATATTTGGGGGGCATAAATTTATGAACGCACTAATGTAATTTACACAATCAATGATTTTTTTGCCAGCAGTCCCTCCGGCTTTTAGCGGCTGTCCTGCTCCTCACTGCTCCTCGTAAAATAATGCTCTGTTCCTCGGCTGTGAAAAATGATGTGCAGCTTTCTCCATTGTGGAGATTGGTCTGGTGGCACTGACCTCACCCCCTTTACGTGTGCGCGCACAGATCTGAAGTGGCCACACCTGGATTCAGTTATCGAGTTGATAACCGGCTTCGTAGTACAACTGATCGGGATCGCGGAGATCCGGTGAAGTTGAGCGAGTTGTCGCAGAGTTATCCTGGATGTGTTAATCCAGCTTCGTAGTACAGGCCTCTGATTAGAATCAAAACAGTGATCATAAAGGGGGCAACAGGGCATGGAATTAAATAATATGTGAATGTCAGACTTACTTCCACCTCGGAGAAATTTGTGCTGTGCAGCGATAACCCATACTCTGGGGAATTTTTAATGCGCAGGTGCGTCATTTTACATGGTGTTCCAGTGCAGAGGTCAACCATTGTGGCCTCACGCCACAGGCAGACCTTGACCTCTGCTTCTCCCTATAATGATAAAACAGGCCTCATAAAAAGTGTATAACTAACAGCTGTTAATGCCTAAATCTTCATTCTACATATGATTTCACTCTCAGTTTGCATTGAGACTTTAGATTAGATTAGATTAGATTAGATCAGATCAGATCAGATCCGATTAGATTAGATTAGATTAGATTAGATTAGATACTACTTTATCTATCCTTTTGGAAAGGTTTCCAAAAGAAGAATATTACTTACCTCTTTGAGCCCTATGTTCACCAAAGGCACGGGTGGACCGTGTTGGCTTGTGATCTGCATGATTTTACTGATCTAAATACACAGATACACACATTTTAATACATTTGCATTTTGTGTGCTATAAGGCTGAGGTTTTAGAAACCTTTTTAAGCAAGGAGACCAGGTGATATGGACTATACAAAAACAGACCTCTGGATAGGACAGACCCCAGAGGGGTTTTGACAGCCTTAACTGAGTAATGATGAACTGTTTGCAACATTAACTGTCACCACATCAACAACAATAATAAAATGCTTACGCTTGTAACACAGCCCTCCACTGTGATGAATCCATCCCTGATAGCAGTGATGTCTTTGATTGACAGTTTCTGGCTTGGTGGGCAAATCATTTTTCTACCCTCCTCCTCTAGACTGGCCGGGACTTCCACAGGGGAGGTGTTAAATATGATGGTGTCTTGGCGTGACAGCATGGAGCGCCGGACACCGTACTTGGAAACACCATAGTTTTTAACAATATAGCTGCGACCCTCGACTATTTTATCTGCCAGGTTTTCAAACAGGATGAATTTGGTGACTGACACCCCATCTGAAACTGCAGCAGTGCAATTCTTGTGCAGTTTGAGAGGGCGTGCCTCCCCCTCTGTAAATTCCCAGGCAGCCGCCTTCATTTGTGTTTGAAGGGCAATGACTTTGATCTTCAGGGGTGGTTGCCGCTGGTAAGGAGTAGAACTCTGGGCGAAAATTGTATGCAGAGACATCCTGAAAATAGAGACAAATTGTGTTAATGCCCGTCAAAGTGCTCATTAAACATGTTTAAGTTGCTTACATCAGCATTCACATTGGAATATGAGTTTCCTGTTAAACTGACCAGGGCTGAGAATTTTTACCCAGGACAACAGCACAGTAGGAGGGCTAAAACTGTTTTAAATATTACCTTTACTGTAAATCTATTACTTGTCTTAAAGACTGTAGTTTGTACCCTGTGTCAATAGTTGGCGGTAATGTGCCGGCAAGCTGTTTGCCAACCACCAATAACACCAAATAAACTACATATCCAATCATCCGGTCGATGAAGAAGAGGAAGATAGTAAACATGGCTGTCGGGACGAAGTTTTTGTGCATGTCACGGAGAGGATATATTCAAAAACAATTTAAATGCGGGGATAGAGGTAAGGTCATTAAACCTGTTAGTTGCGTTGGTAGCGGTTATATAAAAGCAATGAGATGAAGTCAGTATAAATGCCATTTTTGTTAGTATTTGTCAGTTGTTCCGTTTTCATAGACTACAAAGTAGCCGTTACAGTACATTAGCATATTAACCTTACAGTACAAAGTAGCTAACTTAACGTCTGATAACTATCAGAATATCGGATACACAGGGCCGTACTCTTTCAATTACACTGGAGTTATCATAATGTACATTACACGTTTGTTACTTTTTACTAAATTCAATGTTTTTCTGTGGCTGTTGGCGCAACATTGTAACCTGTAAGTAAGACGGCATGAAACCCCTACTGGATTTAAACTGTCATTTCATGTTCAAAGTTGTACATTAATCCACATGAGTAAATTCATTGCATCTTCTATCAGTCTCTATGGCAGGTGCTGCTTTGAGAGAGTCTTACTGTCCATAGTGGTCAGTATGACTCTCTCAAAGCAGCACCTGCCATAGGAATCAGGTAAGTACATCAGGTACCTATGTTATTGATGTTATACACTGTGGCTGCGTGACTGACCTGGGATGAGACAGCTCTAAACTTCACTAAATATGTCTAATTTTCAGCATCTTTGACTTTTCCACACAGCAACCAGTAGTGTGATATTTGAGTTTGTTATCTGTAACACTGGTGTAACTGTTGTCTTTTCTCTCAACTCATCACAGAATCAGCTGGACATAAGCCACAGAGCCAAACCCAGCAACCTGCAACCTTGGAGCCATGTGATCCCTGCTGAGCTTTGAACACCCCTCTGCAACCTTATGGTCTTTAAGTAGCTCACATCTTTCTGTAAATAGAGGGTATACAGTTTTTGAATGTTTTTTTTTCCTTTGGTGTTTAAGTACCTCCTGTTTAACCATGTCAGTTTATTTGGCTTGTTGCGACATCTACTATTTATCTCTACAGAAAGCGCCGCTTTGACTCTGCACCAGGGAAAATGGAGCTCTTTTATGCATTAAGTATCAGGACTAAACAGCCTCAGGTCAGAAGTGGAGAAACTACCCACAGAGACCAGAACTCCTCACTGCCCTCTTCACCTGCACCAGGTCTGTGATATTCTGATATGAAAATGTGAATCAGTAACAGGAGTGACTGCAAGTTTCAATCATGTGCCATGCTCAGTGCTTCGATTAGGTGAAGTTGGACCCATTATGATAGCAGCATCATTCTGACAAGAATCAACATTACTCCACTGAAGCAGGACCCAAGCATGCTGTAAAAATTCTGGCATTCTCATCTTTCAGCACATTAATACTTTGCCATATTCCTGCAACATGTCACTGAGCCACTCAAAGCCAAGCTTCCAGTCTGAGAAGGAGGTGCTGTTCAGAGGAGCAACAACTTGCTTCTCCCCACATGCAGGACATTAACCTGGTAAGTATCCCTCTCTAGTCACCACACCAATTGTTTGTATTTTGTTTTTGGTCAGCTGTATCACTGGTGTCACACCTTTGTCAACTCTCGCCTCTTCAGATCCAGCTCAGCGGGAGTCAAAGTACCAAGCACAGCAAACAGACAACCCTGCAGCCATGTGAGCTCTGCTGGGCGTCCATCACTTCTTGAGCTGCAGCCCAACAAGAATAAAGATCAGCCCACCTGCTGCCTGTTTTATCTGGCAGATAAGTCAAGACCAAGCATCCATGGGACTCTTTTCTCTCCATTCCCATCACCCCATCTAAGAACCAGGGTTCAGAACCCACCTGAGAAGCCCCCACCCACAATGTAACACTAGAGAATGCAATTTCTGAAAGAATTACTCTTGCTGATTTAACTGACTCTGAACTGTGATTGTTCATGGCTGAATATTGAAGATGGTTCGAAACAGAAATTTCTCATCACGTAGTTATTGTCTCTCGTGTATTTATTGTCACTGAGACGGTATGGGTTTTATATTATTCATATTGTAGTTTCTACTTGGTTTTATCCTTTTATCATTTTCAGGACCTCCAGTGTTTCCTCTGGTGGAGCCCTTGGCACCAGGAGCAGTGATCGGCAGTGGTCACAGGGGCGAGTCATGGGGTTCCTGGTGGAGGTTGGTGTCTGCCACATCTCTCCTCTCGCCCTGCGTCCTGTGGCTATGGGTGGCTCTCTGCTCCTGGTGCTGATGGCTCTCTGATGGTGCTGGTTCATCTGTACTCTGCCTCATGTTCACTGTCTTAGCGTCCAAACGTATGGCTGCATTACTGTGTGTGTGTGTGTGTGTGTGTGTGTGTGTGTGTGTGTGTGTGTGTCTGGCTTTAGGTGAGACTGTGTATGTGACTGTTAACTGTGGGTTGTATTGTTGTGTGGCATGTGTTAGGGGGTGCATTTAGGATTGTTTTAGGTTTCTCAACAAACTGTAAAGTACTTTGTGTTATGTTCTTTTGTATGAATAGCGCTCTATAAATAAAGTTTGATGATTTGATCAATTTTCAAGATTTCAAATTTGTATGTAGCAACTAAATGGGGCATGACTAGTTGAATATAAATGAAGTTGAATATAAAAGGCCAGCAACACAGTTGTGTGACAACAGATGAATGAGCTCTTACTCACATGAGCCAATTTGTGAGGCTGGCAAATATGTAACAGTGGATGAGGCTGACAAGCAGGTGAGCAGTGGCATGCAATGATTACAGATTTGATTCGATTCAAGAAGATAAGAGAGAACTTTATTTATGACTCCTTTTGGGAGTCTCTCAGCCACAGGTGAGAATTTGTGAACCTGGTCAAGATGGGACAGTAGCTGAGGCAGAAAAGCAAGTGAGAAGTGGCAGGTATAGATGAGAGATTCGATTGGTTACAACTTTATCAATCCTTTTAGGATTTCCTTAAAGAAATTAAAAAATAGACACTAGGTGGTGCTTTGGTACTTGCCTTTTGCCCTCTTGCCCAGAAACCAGGTTAGTACTAGCAGGTTTCAGGTAAGTATTCTGAACAGTTGTCAGTTCTCGGAGCAGGTAAGGGCACCTGCTTATCCAGAAATTAGACATTCTGAGTGGTATGCATGTTTTTTCCAATTTCTGCATGACCGATTTCTGTGGCAAGGAGTCAAAACTATGAATACAGGTAAGAAGTCGAAAAATTTTGTAAGATTTCAATTCAGAGCCCAAATTTAATAATGAGTGAGTTGGTGAGTCCACTTTAGGGTAAGTTAATAGTTATTAATAACTCCACTCCATTGTTTGGTAAACATTGGAGACATCAATGGTCCCAGATGTTTAGAATCAGTTGTGTGTATCAGAGTGGCTTTAAAAAGGACCATTGAGAAGACAACACAGTTGATGAACTCACAGATTAGGCTGAGACACCTGTCAATCTCTGGCTGTGCAGTCTTTGTCTTTGGTCTTGGTCAGTCTTTGGTGGCTGTTGTGGACTAAATTAAGATATATTTTAAGACAGAAAACTCTGCCAAATGTAGTGATGTGCTTTGTCTGTGTTGTCATGTGACTACTTCAACAAATTGGTTTTCTCTGAAAGTCTTGGTCTCATTTAACACAAGAGTCTGTGGAGCAGTTGGAGATAGATATCTCCTGTCAGCTACTGTGTGGGTCTGGTGGATTTGATGGTGGCTGATATGGCCTAAATAAGACCAGAACTTTGTGTGTCATGGTAATTTTACTGCAACCTAACTTTTGAACGACATTTGTCTCACTAAGGTGTCTTTGTATCTGCTTTTTGACTGTTTGCAGGCAGCCTGAATGAAACATCTGCATTGGTGGTTAAACATATGATAAAAAAAATAACTAATAAACATTTCATACAATATTGTGATTAACAAATTCATTTAGGAGACTACGTGACATGAATTGAAGATTTTCATTGATAAGTGATTAATTCGTGAGACAGGGGTGTATACAACGATCCCCTAACCCCGGTGTGGTGGGGTGGGTGGCTGTTTATCCTCTTGAGCTCGGGTCCCGAGTCCCGATGACCACAGGCAGTACCGTTGCCTTCACGTGTCGTCGGTCTGTTGGAAGTCCCACAGGATCTTGGCTCGGTCAAAAGAAAAAAAACAAAATAAAAAAAAATATATATATATGTATATATATATATGTGTGTGTGTGTGTGTGTGTGTGTGTGTGTGTGTGTGTGTGTGTGTGTGTGTGTGTGTGTGTATATATATATATATATATATATATATATATATATATACACACACAAAAACAAAAACAAAAAACAATAAGGTGCTTCCGTCGAGATTCCGAGTGTCCCTGAATGCACCTTCACTGCCAAAGGCTGAACGTGAAGGCTGTTTAATTACTTCTGACTCCTGACTTTGAGGTGAGTGGCTGCATTTCTATCACTGCTCCCCCATAAACAGTTAAATTCACGGTTAGGCACACCGGGTCAGTGTTTAAACTCCCGGAAACTAGCGTGATAAATATCATTAAGTTTACAGAAATGCCTTCGCAAAATCTGTGTGAGATGAATTACACTTGTATATTCAAAGCTAACTTTAAGGAAAGGGAGGACGAACGTAATTGACGCGAGTCGTCGACGATTTACTCAGAAAGTCTCAGTCTGTTGTGCCCTAAATATTAAAACCCGTCTTTTTACCCTCTCTGTGTGATGAGGAGCCATAAATGTGATGTTGTGATAATAAAAAGCAGAAAAGGAAAAAGTTGAAGTATCACGGTTTTAACAGCATCCAACGGTCAGCTAACGGTTAGCTAATTAACGTTGGCCGATTAGCGTTGATGCTCCGTGACTCTGACCGTCAATATCTTTTTCATGGTTGTATTAGCAACTGACTGTCAGCTCTTAGAAAGTTCTCCTATTTCCATAAAACGAAAATTTTTAGAAGGAGCAGTTGCCTCCTTTGCTCTAATGCTTGTTTCTGTCTCAGCTGTTAGTCACTTTAGCTGTTGAGTCTCCAATAGTGCTAACTCAGGTAAGTGAGCTTGTGAAATGTCTGTAACTGACATTAGTCAGCTAATGCCTGTGTAGACCTTTTATGAGCAGCCTTTTTGACATGAAAGAATCAATAAAACCACCTGGAGGTAATAATGTAATGATGTGACAAAGTTACAGGGTCTTAATCAATAAAACTGTAACACCTGTGTTAATTTCACACCAGAATGGATGTTGTGTGGCCTGATCTGTTCTAATTATTGAGTAAGTGTGAGTTCTTGTTTGTGGTATGAACTGTGCTGGTAAAATGTATAATATATTGTACAGCTTAGAGCGCACAAAATTTTTCCAGTCTTTTAGAGAGCAACAGAGACAGAAAAGATGACACTAACATGCTGTCTCCTCTTTTAGACGGAGAGAGGTTCCAGCGCTTGTTTGGTGAGTACCTGAAATTAAAATCTAAAATGAAATTGACAGCAGTTTATCACTTGAGTGTGGCTGAAAACTTACCCACTCCCTGATATCACAAAATCCTTTTCTGAAGAGATCCCAACACATTCAATATAATATTATTCTTATGTAATCTTTTTTTTTTTTTTTCTCAAATCCTCAAAGTTGCTCCAAAGTTCTCCAAAATACAATCAAATTGTGCTCATTTCACATAATTGTTACGCCTTTGGTTGAAGTCTGTCCTTTTGAATTAATGCTATTTTCCGTTTTGTGTCCCGGATAAAATTGTAGACTTTTAAGGTTGTTCATTTGGGTATAAAATCTACTCTGTGTGTGAGTGCTTCTTGCCCAAGGGCACAGAAGGTCCTCAAGCATGCACTGCAAGAAAAATTCTGATACCAAGAGGATTTCTTTGAGAGAGAGAAAACCAGCTGCTTTGTCAAACATGTACTGCTGTAATATCATAGTAACTTCACCTGATTATTAATGTGTACTTTTGAACTGAACCAAGCACCACACACTCTTTACCTTGAAATACGAGATGCAGGGACCAGTTACTATCCCATCATGTTTGATATCATATGAGCATGGACTTAGGCTTCAAAAATGTCACATAGCTGACCACAGCTAAACGTAGTTTATTGTAACTCTCATATGGTATAATTTTGTTAAAGGTAATAATGTTTTTTTCTCTTTTGTGTGTTATACTGTGCAGAAGAAGAAGAGTTCCGGTGTCCAGGTTCCAGTGGATTGTCCTGTTTTTCCCTCCCCTGCCCCCTACCCCTCTATCCTCCTGCCTGCTCTGTCTATTGTCCCTGCCTTCTTTCTCTACCTAAGTTTCCTTTTCAAGGTAGGAAACAATCCGCCTTGATACATCCATCCTGCTCTGTCTATTTTCTCAGCCTTTTTTCTCTCTCCCTAAGTCTCTCCACAAGGTTGGAAACCATCCGCCTTGAATAATCAAATACTCATCCTTGAAATACTTGCTTTGTTGGTGCTACCACGCATCCCTGAAAAAACTCACTTGGTTGGTGCTTCAGTGCATATTTGACAAAAATCTACTACTACCACGACTACTGGTACTGCTACTACCACTACAGTTATTACTTGTACCACTACTACTATTGCTACTACCACTACAACTGCTGCTACTACCACCACTACTACTGCTACTACCATTATTACTTCTACCACTACTACTCTTGTTACTACCACTACAACTACTGCTACTGCTACTACTACTACTGCTACTAGCACAACTACTACTACCTCTACCAGTACTACTACAACTACGACCAATTACCTCCAGGAACAATGCCACGCAAAGGAAAGAGATCCCAAGCCAAAAAGCTACACTGGCAGAAATTTCCTGAGTCCCGAGTACCTAAACAAGGGGTGGTGAGTCCTCATCCTTACAACAGCGGACAGGTAAATACCCCTGATTTTTCTAATGCTAATGTCACACATGTGTTGGCTTCCCGCAGTCAGGGGCATGATACATACGCTGATTCAAAGAACAGTCAATGCTCCTGCAACTGTGCTACTTTCCTGGCCTTTCTGCATGAGTTAGGACAACTCCACACTGCTGATCTTGATCTCATTTTGGACAAAGGCCATGCAATGTATGCTCTAACTCTCGGTCAGTTGGATGTTGATGGTCGAAAAGTTGATAGATTCTTAAATATAGATGAACTTCCATCAATCGTTGTTGGTGACAGACAACAGCACATAATGACAAAGTGTCAGTCAGTCAGTGGCGTCTTTACAGCTCCTACCTTGCTAAACAACAACCTTGCAGATGTACTTCAGTGCTTGTCCGCAGAGGTGAACTACGCATTTTTGATAATGAGTTCAATGTACATTTCTGTTTTCCGAGACCAACGCGGGCAGTATGGCTATTTTGACCCACACTCTCGACAGCCTGATGGTTTACCCTCTGGCTTTGGTTTTGGCACAGCTGTCGTCTTTATTTTCACACATTTAAATGATCTGATCACAAAGCTTGTGACATTGTTCCGTGCAGTGGGCTCTGGTCCAAATGCTTATTTTGAGCTGACACCTGTACAATTTCAGACTGTGGATGAGCTCTCAGGGGG